ATTAATAATTCACTCTTTCAATTCACAGACATGGAATATGTTCACCTTTGCTAAGGTCTTCTTTCAGCAATACTTTTTCTTTGTTTTTTCTTTTAATTAAGTTTAGTGGTACATTTTGGGTATACAAGACAGTTACATTCATTATTGGGAACTTGTACCTTTACATGGTATATCTTGGTTCTTATTTTTTCCCCCAATACCCTGCCCTCCCTTCAATTTTTGTGTTTTTTAAGATAGGGTCTTGCTCTGCAGTTCAAACTGGTCTTGAACTCACTATGCAGCCCAGGCTGGGCTTGAACTTGTGGCGATCCTCGTGCCTCAGCCTCCTGCGACAGCAGATGTGTGCCACCATGCATGGCAGCAATACTTTTTTCTAATTCCCATCAATAAATTTTGCACAACTTCTTAAATGTTTAATCCGAAATAGTGTGTGTGTGTGTGTGTGTGTGTGTGTATTTTTTTTTTTTTGTACCAGGAATTGAACTTGTGCTTGAGAGGCAGGCACTAGAACCCCTGAGCTAAGTCCCCGGCCCCAGAATAGTTTATAATTTTTATGCCATTGTAAATGATGTTTAAAAGTTTTCCTTTTCTTTCTTTTTTCGTAATCATGTAGTAATACAGTTGATTTTTTTTTATCATCTTGTTAAGATTTTCTGTGTACTTAGTTATGCTGTTTGCAAATTAAAGCAGTTTGACTGATTTTATTTTACTTTTGAGACAGGGTCTTGCCATGTAGTCCAGGCTGGCCTCAAACTCACATGTTCTTCTTGCCTTAGACTCCCAGAATGCTGGGATTACAGGCATGTACCACTGTGATATATTATACTGTGATATATTAAACTTTTCTATATTCTTGGGTATTACATGTTAATATTTTGGTAAAGATTTTTACGTCTCTGCTCATGGAAGATATTTTCCTGTAATTTTTTTTTTGTAATATGACTTTTTTTTGGTAACAGGGTTATGATTTCTAAAATCAGATTTGGACTCATAAAATGGAAAGTATTTCTGATTTTTCTATTTTCTGAAAGAGTTTGATGGTAATTACCTTAAATATTTGATAGAATTCCCCAATAAATTATCTTAAGTTTCATGTTTTCATTGCAGAAAGTCTTTAAGTTATTAATTCAACTTCCTTAAAGATGTAGAGTCACTCAGATACCTGTTTTATTCTATGTCTTTTGAAAACATTTCATCATAGTTTGTTATATTTCATTGTTCTTTTAACATCTTTAGAAACTGTCTGTCCTGATTAAAAATCTGTATTGGTGATTCTTTCATTTTGATATTGGTAATTTTCTCTCTTCCTCTGTCTTCTTGTTTTTAAATTTTTTTAATTTTAAATTTTTATTTCAATGTAATAAGGTAAATATTAATAAAGAAAATATTTTTTAAAAACACTTTTCTATGAAAAAGTAAAGCAAAATTTCATAAATTAATTAAAGAATAACAAGTTAATAAACTGTGAGCCATAATCTTAAAAGAATGGCCAAAATGTTAAAGTACAAGTTATAGACAAAAAGACTTACAAAAAGGAAACAAACAGATAATAACACAAAACTTTCTTTTAAGTGAACCAAGAGGGCCTAGCGGTAAAATGAAATAAGTTAGCATGTATACTGAAATATTTTTGAAACCATGGAACATATAATTTGGGGAATTATTAGAACTTCTCCCTATTTCCTATTTCTCTAACCTCAGTCTTATTTTTTGGCCAACCTACCTTATTGATGCTTATTAAACTTTTCAAAAGGCTAAATTTTGTTTTGTTTTGGTTTTTTGAAACAGGGTCTCACTATGTAGTTGAGACTGACCTGGAACTCACTTTGTAGCCCAGGCTGGTCTCCAACTCACAGCAATCTTCCTGCCTCAGCCTCCCGAATGCTGGGATTACAGGTGTGTGCCACCATGCCCGGCTCAAAAGGCTAATTTTTGATTACATTAATTTTCTCTATTGTTTGTCTATTTCTATCTCATTGTATTCCACTATTTATATTTCTTTTTTTCTGCCTCCTACAGTTTCATTTGTTCTTCCTTTCCTACCTTCTTAATTTAAAAGCTTGGACCACTAATTTTTTTCCTTTTTGGGGGGGCAATACCAGGATTGAACTCAGGACCTTGCACTTAAGAAACAGGTGCGGTGCCACTGAAATAAATTCCCAGCCCTTTTACATTTTTTTTGAAACAGGGTTTTGCTATGTAGTTCAAGCTGGCCTTGTACTCATTCTGTAGCACAGGCTAACCTTAAACTCTCAGCAAGTTCTCCTGCCTCAGCCTCCCAAATGCTGGGATTACAGATGTGCTTTACCATGCCTGGCTAGACCACTAATTTTAAAAGGTTTTTTTCTTTTGTAATATAAGTATTTAGACCTATAACTCGGTCATTTTTTTGTATCTCACAAGTTTTTTAGTTTTTTTCATTGTCAATTGAAGTATTTAAAAATTTCTCGTGAGTATTAGTCATTTTGAAATACTCAGTTTCTTCTGACAGTCCTGGCCCATTCTTTTTCTACTGCATTCATTACATATTTCTTTGAAGTTTTATATACTTCGTTTCTAATTTTCCACATATGTACCTATTTGTTTTATGTACCTTTTTTTTTCCAGCTTTGGAGATTGAACCCAGAGGCATGCTACCTCTGAGCTACATTCTCAGCCCTTTTTATTGTTTATGTTGGGATAGGTTCTTGCTAAATTGCCCAAGCAGGACTCATATATGCAGTCCTTCTGCCTCAGCCTCCAGCGTGGTGAGATTATAGGCATGCACCTGGCCTATTGTACTTATTTTATATACATGATTCCCTAGATGAATGGTGCCTTCATAAGTACAAAATTCTAACAAGATGAGTTTGTAAAATTTTTAGTACTTTGTATGTAGTTGCTATGAAATTAACAGACATCTTAGCCACCATTAATGTGAGAATTACTGGGATGAATCTAAATCCCCTATAAGGAGTCAATTATTTTTTTTAAAAAGATGGCTACTAATGACACAAAATAGTAAATGCATGTGCAAGGGTCCTGGGATAGAAATGCACACTGTCCTTTTGGAAGTGAGGGAAGAAAACAGTGTGGGGAAAGGTGGGAAAGAAGTCAGGCTTATGTCCAGAGAGCTCTGGTAAGCTGAGGATATTGGAATCCTGTGTTCGGAACACTCTTCTGGTGGAGGTCTTTGATGCTCTCCTGGTGCCCATTCACTTCAGTGCATCTTGGACTGCATGTATACTCTTCTGCTCTGTCCTCCTAGTCCAATCCCTGGCAGTCATTGAGTTTACAACTCACACTGAGCAGCACAGGCAGAAGTTTCCAAGCCAAGTGTCCCACTTTGAACTTGGCCTTGGGCACTCTCTGTCTTCTGAGGGTTTCCTTTCTTGGTACCTTTCACTTGTGCTGATGTGGTTGGGTGGGAGTGTGTAGACCCTCCCTGAAGCAGAAATTTTGCTTTGTTTTTAAGACTGGTGGGTGAGAATTCTGGTATTTTGGGTTGTTTCCAGGAAACTGGTCAAGCTTTCCCCTTTCTGTCCCTCTCAGAGTATGTGCAATCTTAATTAAGAAAAGGGAAACCACCTTCTAAGTAAACATTGTAAGACAGAATAACTCAAGCATCTTTGTTTGGCAGGAATAAAGACTACTTCTGTCTACAAACTGATTTTGGCACTGATGCTTTGTAGTCATTCATTCGTCTTTGATTTCGTTGTTCTTTTCTGATATACTGGCTGGGAAAAGAATAGGCATTTTCATTTTATATATTTTTACTATAGACCTTTGATGCATGTAATATTGAGATAGATTTTCTCAGACAGAGGTAGAGGTGGTCCATGACTTGAATGTAATCCCAGCTACTTGCAGTAGGATTGGGACAGAAAGGCTACTTACTTGGGTGATAGCAGGCATCAAATTCAGATGCTTGGTACTTTGGGACAGAGGGGTCTCTATGGAGGAGGCAGGTGGACATGTAAGGCTTTGGTGTGGGCTGTTTCTTTGGCCTTTCCATGGCCAAAATCTGTGCTGGAACAATAGTCATAAAGCTTCGAATTCAACATATTTCTGACTTAGATTTATTCATATGTCTACCTGTAAATGTAGGAGACTTATACAAATCCATTCTAAAAATGCACTGTGAGGGATGGCGACTTAAAATTTTCAAAAGCTAAGTTAAATCAGTTTCAGGCCTTGGACTTGCTGGATCTCTGGGACCACTGTCTGCTCAGCCAGGCCATCATGAGGGGCAGCAAGTGGAAGAAAGAATATTGTGCCTGGCGTGGTGGCTCATGCCTGTAATCCCAGTACTTCAGAGGCTGAGGCAGGAGGATCGCTGTGAGTTTAAGACCAGCCTGCTGGGATACACAGTGAGTTCCAGGTCAGTCTCAACTACATAGTGAGACCCTGTCTCAAAAAAAAAAAAAAAGCCGGGGATTTTAGCTCAGTGGTTCTGGCCACTACTCTGCAAGCACAAAAACTTGAGTCCAATCCCCGGTACTAAAAAAAAAGAAAAGAAAAGAAAGAATATTCTGCTTCTGCAGGGTCCAGGTTTGGGTAGAGAGGTAGCTTTAGAAATCCCTCACCCTTCCCCGAGCTGCTCCTGCCTCTGGGGCTGGGAAGGAAATGACCTTTTCGTCTCCTTTGCCTTGGCTGGGCTGGGGTGGGTGAATGCAAATCCCTTCCTTGGATGGCACATCTTTGAATAAAATATGACTAAACTGCTCATTTTAAAAACACTTAAAAGTCGTTTTCACTAAATCGGAGCCAGCGACCCCACATGGCTGTGCCGGCTGCTGACTCCCCTTCATGCTTCCCAGTGGGTAGTAGGCCCCTTTCTGCTGCCTGCTTTCTGCCACTCTACAGCAGGTGCCTGGCTCCTGGCCCAGAGCTGCTTACCTTTCGCAGAGATACCCTGGGCCCTCAATAGGGCTGACTGGCCATGGGAAGAGATGTCCAAGGCAGGCTTTGTGGCAAGTTTAAGGACAAACTGAAAAATCTTCACAGTAGGCCTGGTTAATATGGACCTGTGCACGACTCAGTTTTCCCCCAGCAGCCTGAAGATGAAGCAGCAGAGGACTGCAGTGGGTGCATAGCTCCTTCTCCTGCTCCTGGCCGGACATGGGCAGAAGTGCAGGGCCAGAGAGAGGCTCAAGCCAGGCCTCCTCCCTCATCCATGCATCTCATTCCTCTGTTACTTCCTTCCTGTTTTATGGCCCCTTGGCTTCTTCATTAAGAGGGAAAGAAAACTCTTCTACAGCTGTATGCATTTTTACTTCTTCTATTTATTCTTTTTGGTTGTTTGTCTTAAAGGTAAAGCAATTCAGGCAAGCCCCACTGTGGGTTTGCCATCCCCTCTGTCCCTCCTACTCTTCAGGCTTTAGGGCTGCTGTCTGTACTGTTCCTGGTCTGATACCGTGTTGTCTTTTCCACCAGAGCTTGGATATCCTCAGCACTACTGGCTATGATACCATCATCCATCATTTGAACAACGGCCGCAAGAACTGCAAAGAGTTTGAGGACTTTTTGAAAGAAAGGTATGATGCTCTGTCCTTTTCAAAGATGGTGGACTCTGTTGCCTTTACCCAAGCAAGGAATGGTGATTTTTTTTTTTTCTGGTACTGGGGATTGAATCCAGGACCTACGGATTGAGCTACATACCCAACCCTTTTTGCTTTTTTTATTTTGAGATGGGATCTTGCTAAGTTGTTGAATTGCCCAGCCTGGCTTGGACTTGTGGCCCTCCTGCTTCAGCCTCCCCATAGTGTGTGGGGGGTTAGAGGCATGCATCACCACCCCTGGCTGAATTTAGTGTTATTGATTGTGCTTAGCATTTCTGAAGATTTGCTGTAGTTACCCAATGATACTCAAGAAGTAAATGATATCTCTGTTCTGAAGTTTTGCAGAACCAGCCTGGAAAATAAGATTTATGAATGAAACAGCAAACAAAGTGTAGTAAATACACAAAATACTTTAAGTAGTGTGGTATGAATAACATTCAAAGACCCCCATGGAAAAGGGAGATTGCTGAGAATTTGGAAAAAGAAAAAGACAGGGGTAGCTTCAGGGAGGAGGAGATTCTTGAAGTGGCCCTGGCAGGAGGAGGAGCCTCTTGTAGGTGCAGGAGTGTCTGAAATCTGTGGGAGAACATCAGGCTCAGAGCGGGGAATGAGTAGAGCCTGAGTGGGAAGAAGGAGGCACAGCCTCATTCAGAGCCCAGGAGGGTGAGGGAGGCATGGCAGAAGGTGAGGGCAGAACCATGCGGTCTTACAGGCCCCGGGGGAGAATGTCTTTCTCTTGGCCTCTGGTATCATTGATCTGCCAGCCCTTGGGGTGTGCCGACCTACAGCCCCATAATTCCCAAGTCTCCCTTCACCATCACATGGCTTCTTCTGTGTTGTTGGACCATCTTTGTATTTTATTTTTTTGACTGTTCAGGTCAATTTTTTATTTTAATAAAATCAGAATATGTACAGCACATGCAATGCTAGCAACTAAAATACAATGAGCAATTATTAAAGCTACAGTGACTGGAGGTTCAATCTCTATGTTCAGCAAGTTTAGCTCCATCCTTACAGGATTTTTGAAACTTTTACTGAAAATACTGCTTGCTGGTAAAACTCGCTCAAATGCTACTGCTGAATGCACAAGTCAGCGATTATGCCAATACAACAAAAATAACCACATATTTGAGGATTGCAGTTCACTGAAAAAAATACACACAGCTAAACAAAACTCACAACAAATATCTGAGAATCTGGTCATTTCAGTGTTTTAAAATGTTTCAGTAATATCTTAAGACAAGTGTATGAAAACCTTAGCATGATTTAATTTCAAGTCACCAATTTTGTTTTTACTAACATCAGAAAGTTATGATTACCCTGCCAATGCCAGTCTGCTTAATTTGACTCAAGTGTTTAATATGACAATATTAAAAGCTGACACTACCCCAAAATATATAATTCACACAAATGGTGACATTCAGCATTCACGTGCCAGTGTTTTTGTACTATCTTTTGGTAGTTTCTTTAAACTTTCAAGAATCACTTTTAGGCTTACAAAAGTAAATATTTGTCAAAATGTTCAATAAATGTTACATAAAAGTAGCAGCAAAAAATATCTAGAAATCTGTTGTGTGCAAATAGTTTTCTTCTCAACTGTGATTGCCATGGTCCCAAATAAATTTTAGAATCTAGTCCCATCCCCTTCCTAGACAAGCTACATTTAATAATCTCCAAGAGAAGACAAAATAATATTGGAAGTTTTAAGGACACACACAAAAGATATTATTGTCTCATAGATAGATAGATAGATAGATAGATAGATAGATATAGATATAGATATATACCTGTATATATCTATATATATCTGAATGTGCAATAAAAGTAGTACTTTGTAAGAAGTTGTGGGCAAAATATACAAGAGCTAATAAAAATAGCACCATAACAATAACCTTAATACTTCAAGTGCACTTACTTAATAAAATGTGTAGAGAAACATACAATTGCCAATGTATTACACTTTAGAAAATTTTTACCATTTCCTATACTACTGTAAAGAGATTAAGAATTTTGATCACTCTATTCTGGCCCCAGAATTCACAGTGGCAGAGGCATTTAGTGGTGGACAATGCTTATCTTTGGACAGCATAAACGGACTATAAAAACAGTGGAAACCTATGCAATTAAAACTGACTTAACTGTACTGTAGAGCAGAATTGACACCTTATGCAGTTATGTATGTATTTCCAACCTATGTGATAAAGATTTCAGTTTGTTACTCTTCTAGTGCCATTTTTACAAAGTCTGTAGAAGCCAGTTTAACATCTCAGTGCAGCTTGAACAGAGTAATGTGAATTGGCATTTAAAATAAAGCCTGTGGCATAATTCTTTCTGTTCACACCCTCTTGACCAAAAAGCAAACACTATCATGTGTTATTAGATCACAAATCATCCAGGGCCCTAATGAGGGCTGGTCATTGCTGTGGTCAGCCATTTTACCATTTTAATTTCATTTATGGTAGGCATTTAAAAAGTCTAAATATCCCACAGAAATCCAGAGGGTCATTAATACATACTATGAGAACCTGTACTCTAATAAAATAGAAAACACAGAAGAAATGGACAGATTTCTAGATACTTATGAATTACCAAAGTTGAACAAAGAAGATAAAAACGTTTTAAACACCCCAATCACAATCAGTGAAATTGAAAATATAATTAAAAACTTACCAACAAAGAAAAGCCCAGGTCCTGATGGATTCACTGCTGAATTTTACAAGACATTGAGAGAAGATCTATTGCCATTACTCTTCAGACTTTTCAACGAAATTGAAAGAGAAGCAGTACTTCCAAATTCATTCCTGGAAGCAAATATCACTTTGATTCCCAAACCTGGGAAAGATGTAACAAAAAAAAGAGAACTACAGGCCAATCTCCTTAATGAATATAGATGCAAAAATCCTCAATAAGATACTAGCAAACAGAATACAGAGGATCATCAAGAAGATCATTCATCCCGACCAAGTTGGATTTATTCCAGGGATGCAAGGATGGTTCAACATACATAAATCAATTAATGCAATGCACTGTATTAACAAAGTCAAGGACAAGAACCATATGATCCTCTCGATAGATGCAGAAAAAGCATTTGACAAAATTCAACACCCATTCATGATAAAAACTCTGCAAAAAATTGGAATAGATGGTCTATGTCTCAACTTAATAAAGGCTATCTATGAAAAACCAACAGCCAACATCATATTAAATGGCCAAAAACTGAAAACCTTTACTTTAAAATCAGGAACAAGACAAGGATGCCCACTATCACCACTCCTCTTCGGTATAGTTCTGGAAACATTAGCCATGGCAATTAGACAAGAGAAAGAAATTAAAGCAATAAAGATAGGAAAAGAAGAAGTTAAATTGTCATTATTTGCTGATGTTATAATACTCTACATTGAAGACCCAAAAAACTCCACCAAAAGACTTCTAGACTTAATTGAAAGATTCAGTAGAGTAGCTGGATACAAGGTGAATACCCAAAAAATCAATAGCCTTCTTGTACACAAATAACAGACTCACTGAGAAAGAAATTAGGGAAACAATTCCTTTCACAATAGCACCCCCAAAAATGAAGTATCTGGGAATCAACCTAACAAAAGAAGCAAAAGACCTCTACACTGAAAACTACAGCACTCTGAAAAAAAGAGATCAAAGAGGATTTAAGAAAATGGAAACATATCCCCTGCTCCTGGGTAGGAAGAATCAACATAGTGAAAATGGCCATACTACCAAAACTGCTATACAGATTCAGTGCAGTACCAATTGAAATCCCAACACTATACTTCACAGAACTAGAAAGAAGAATCCAAAAATTCATTTGGAACCATAAGAGACCTAGAATAGCAAAAGCCATCCTAGGCAACAGACACATGGCAGCGGGTATAACAATTCCCAATTTGAAACTATACTACAAAGCCACTGTGATAAAAACAGCATGGTACTGGTAAAGAAGCAGACCTGAGGATCAGTGGAACAGATTGGAAGACACAAAAACAACTCCAGATGCACTCAGCTACCTCATCTTTGACAAAGGAGCTGCCAGTCCCCACTGGAGGAAAGATAGCCTCTTTAATAAATGGTGTTGGAAAAACTGGATCTCATCCTGCAAAAGATTAAAATTATACCCTTATCTGTCACCATGCACTAAAGTAAAATCCAAGTGTTGATATACTTCTAAGTGAAATAAATAAGGCACACATATGCAAATGCAGAATAGTTTCTGTGGTGTGAAAAACTAAAATAGTACTCAAGATCCTAATGGGACACTTAGCAAATAGGAAGAAAAGGACTGAAGGTGTAGGGACAGTGAGAAGGATAGGGAAGGGAGAATAAGGGAAAAGGAAAAAAATAGGAGAAAATGTAAAAATGGAATTAAAGTGTTTGAAGTAGCTTCTGCACTGCAAAAGAAACCATCAACAGAACTAAGAGACAACCCACAGTGTGGGAAAAAATTTTTACCAGCTGCTCCTTAGACAAAGGACTATTATCTAAAATATACAAAGAACTCAAAACAACCAGCCCCCCCAAATATAAAGACCCAATTATAAAGTGGACATCTGAAATGAACAGACGTTTCTCAGACAAAGAAATAAAAGCCGCAAGTAAATATATGAAAAAATGCTCCACATCACTGTTCATTCAAGAGATGCAGATGAAAACAACACTGAGATTTTACCTCACCCCACAAAGAATGGCTGCTATCAAGAAATCACGCAATAAGAAATGTTGGCACAGTTGTGGGGAGAGAGGAACCCTTCTCCATTGTTGGTGGAGTGCAGACTGGTGCAACCACTATGGAAGTCGATATGGGATACCTCAAAGAACTAGGATTAGAGGTTCCATTTGACCCAGCCATCCCTCTGTTGGGTTATCTTTCCAAAAGAAGTGAAAGAATGATACCACAGTGATATATGTGCACCCATGTTTATAGTGGCACAGTTTGTAAGAGCTAAAACTTGGAAACAGCCCATCTG